TGTTGAAGACTCTACTTGAGATATAAGTGTCAAAATGCAGTAAATATCATCAGCTCCTCAATTTTCAAGAAGAACCATTTATCTTTTTAAAAGAACATAATGGTATCTGGTTGGCATTACACAGAGACAGAATGCTGGTTTTGACCTGCTTACATGAAATTATTCTTTGATATTAGTAAAGTAAGGTATAAGTAAGTAAATTGTTGCCAAAAGAATGCTCAAGGTTACTAATTGTAAATATAAATTATGATATCTTCATGTATTTCTGAATGAATTAGAATTTTAGTGAAGTATTCCAGAGAAAATTTTCAATAAGATTCCTCTTTGCCAGAACATTTTCTAATAGGTGATCAAAGTGCATCCAAAATAATTCTGTCTCTGATCTTGATTTCAAGAGGATAATAGGTTAATGGATTTGTCAAAAAGAAAAAAGAGAAATAGCCTGGAATTGGCTCATGCCCCCCCCCATCCTTTGCCTCTCTCCTTTCTCTCCTGGAAAAGCAAGTTTCCAAAGTATTATTTTGGCATTTTATATAAAATTCTATACACATGTAATGTCTTAATTTTTTAAGAGCTGTTTTGGTGTATAAGTTCCATAGTTTTGTTATTTTGAAAACAATTCTTGTCTCTAGATGACTGTGTATTGTAGAGACCTCAGTCAAATCAGTTTGATTAACACTGTTCAACAGGAATTATCTCAAGGATGCTACCAATAATGTTTGTCATAGTTCGAAGCACTCTCCAGTAGGATCAGATTTTTACACACATACTTAATAAATGACATTGCCTTACTGAACCACCTACCCTACTGATCGGCTCAGAGGAACTGGACAGGGGGCAGCAGCCTGACTGGAGGCCTGCGCGCTGACCCCCAGCCCATGTTCTGTCACTATTAGAAGGTAACTTTATTTTGCACTCACATACATACACAAGGCCTGCGTGCTGACCCCCAGCCCATGTTCTGTCACTATTAGAAGGTAACTTTATTTTGCACTCACACACATACATACATGCCTACACACACGTGCATGCGCGTGCGCGCGCGCACACACACACACGCACGTGAGCACATGCACGAGGAGAGATTTCCCGCTTCCAGGGCCTCACCTGCCCAGGCAGACCGGGGATGCACCAACCGTTGATGGGACTTGCGCAGAACATCCATAGTCACGCAGAAGGCCCAGTTTTTGAAGCTTTGAAATTCTTTTCAGAGCAACAAAATTTGCTTTAGAATAAACACCAAGAAGTACCAAATTCTGAAGTCTCTCCTGTGCTCAGTTCAGGGCTCTAATTGGCTGATGCGGTGGGGTGGAGAGGGCTTTGTAGATTATCGGATACATTCTCCAGGCACACACCACGAGGCAGAGAAATCACGAAAATACTCAGCCTCACCATTAATCCACATCTCTAAATTGGCATAAAGGCTCTGTCATGAAGAAAAAAAAATCACTAGAACCTTTGGAGCAATGGCCAACTTGAGCCACAGTGGCTAGAACAAAAACATCTACAATAAATATTCTGGACGTGATTCTCTTTTTCTCTTCTGAACGGTCCATTTTTACTTCTGAATGACTGGGAAGTTATCTCGTACAAGACTATTCTATCCAATCTTGTTTTCTTCTAAAAACTGTCACAGAATTATATTTCAATTGCATCAATAGTAATTGCAAACGACATAAGCATTTTGAGTGCCTATGGATTTAACCAAAAACAGCACTTGCCTCTTCTGCAACACCTAAGTTCATGCTTTCCAGGAGTTTAGGGCTCATCTGTTACATAGTCTCCTTTCTGAAAGGCTGAGTGTGTTTCAGTGCATTGCATACCACTTTGCCCCCAGGTACACACAGTGCTCCATGCATAAGAAGAAGGTGTACTACTTGAGGAAAGAAAAAAACGTCACATTTGCATGAGGAGAGCATGAAATACCAAACTTAAATAAGAACTCAAGTTGGTGCTATATTTAAACCTTTCTAGAGGGGTCGGAGCCACATCTCATACCTGTAATCCTAGCTACTCAAGAGGCTGATCTCAAGAGGTTGGTCTGAAGTCAACCCCAAGCAGAAAGAGCCTAAGTTTCTTATCTCCAATTAACCAGCAAAAAGCTGAAAGTGGAGGTATGGCTTAAGTAGTAGAGCACCAGCCTTGTGTGACAAAGCCAAACCAGAGCACATGGCGAGATGGCTTCATTTTTCTTTCTTTTTTTTTTGTAGTTCATAATAAGCTTCAGCAAATCATTAAGTCTTTTTCCTACAAATCCACTTTTAATTTTTTTTGATGAGGCAAAGCTGTATTTAATCATGCAAATGATAAATAATATATATTAAAGTTAAATGCAAAGGTGCTCAAATGTTAGGTGAATCACTTTCTCATAAAGTAGCTTCACTGATAGGTTAATACTACTAAAAACAGAACCTGTAGAGGGATTCCTCAAAGAGGAAGCCGGGACAGTTGAAAGGATGATTAATTCAGGGAGACAGATATCAAAGGATACTGTTCAACTTTCTTTACGTTTATCAAATGCTTTTGGACAAAGAACAGAAGGAAGGTGCTCTGACTTGCACCAGGGCAGGGAGTTTGCATTCTTACATGTCTGAAGTGCTTTACATATTTAAAGAAATGTCCTGACTGTGAGCCTCATTGAATGATGAATGCTGGAGCCAGTGGGTTGCTGATCTCAGCCTCTGGAAGTTCTTCACTGTAGTGAAGTCTGAAGCCTGTTCTTCCTTCCAGTAACAAGACAGATTAGATTACTTCACAAGCATGAATGATGACTTTGTCTTCCATGGTTTATTCTGTCTCAGGGTGCCAAGAAGATTTTGTGTTTTGTGTGAATGCATTAAGTGTTAATTGTCATTTTAATGTATTATATAATTATTTTTTCATCAGACAATTGCCTGGGACAAACAGTGCATCAGTCCTGATGTTTTTGCAATTAGTTTGTAGCATGCAAACTTAGTCTTCCTTCTTAATCATTAAATAGTTGAATATAAATTTTAATTGGTTTAAATGCTTCAGTGTTCTCCACAGTTTAGGATCACACTTAGCAAATGATAAAAACCAAAGGATTCTTCAACATAAAGAAAAATGCATACTATTGAACAAGTCATTAAACAATTGTCAGCTAAATTATAAGAACATGGGTTTTTTAATCTCTCCCTTAGAATATGTTTTCATCTACATGTTTTCTGAAAGCTGGCATTTGCAGGGAAGAAGTAGAATTAGAAAAGGAATAAACGCAATCTCTTTCTTACTGTGTTTGATTAGATTGAAAAGAGAACCTCTGTCCAGTCCCTGGTGACCCACTCTTTCCCAGAGCTGGAGCACATGGAGAAGAGGAAATGTATTTGTGAGATGGGAAGAAAAGGCAAAACTTAGGTTTTCCCGTTTGTGTGTGCAGTTCTGGGTAGACATGGGTACACTGGCGAGCTTCGGGGTGAGAGGCACCGGCCCACACCACCCGCCTGTCAGCAGACGCGGGCAGGAGGCCTCCCAGGTCCCAGGGATTCGGGGCATCCATCCTTGGCCACGCCTCTAAAATATAATCGTGTCAACACAACACAAAACACTTGTGCACACACGTCCACGGGACCCCACACCTCAGAGATTTACCCCTGCTTCCCTATGTCCAGACTTCACTCTGACACGTCTCATGGGAAATGGGTAAGCGGTAAGCTTTGGTGACTGCAGTTTGACAAGCAGTGCCTCACCCATGGGAGCTGAGATTTGCTTTAGCCCAGTGTCCCAGCCATCAGCCGCCGTTCTGTGCTTCTCCTAGGCAAAGTTATAAGTTTAAATTAGCCGACAGGTAAGAGGAGATTCATTTAGGAAAGGGTGATTATCGTATTCAGACGAGTCTGAAACAGGTGGGCTTTCAGAGAAAAGCAATGCCTGAGAAGCCCTAGGCAGCAACGAAAGCCTGGCCTTTAAGCCTGGCCTAGATGTAAGAGATTTAACACAGCGTGTGCTAACCCCTGTGCTCTTGTGACCGAAAGTCATTTAAAAAATACAGTTATTTTTAAATGCTAAATCAACATATCACAAGTACTTTCTTAACCCAATAAGATAAAATCTTTTACTAATTTAACCGTATGGCAAGTTGGGCAGTTCCTGCATTTATCCTGCCTGATACGTGATTTTTCTTCTACAGTGACTTAATTTGTAGGCAGAGGACAGGTTAATCCTAAACACCTTTGTGCTTGAAGTAGAAAGACGTTGTAACTCATAAATGGGAAGAGGCTTGCGCCTAAAGCCGGGCACCCCAGCGCATCTTGAAAACAATAATGGCATTTGTGGAATTACCTTATCTCTCTGTTGCCCAGGAGAAAAAACAGAGATTTTTCCAAAAACGATGAATAATAAACAGTTCTTTTCACCCACCGAAGTACCCAGTTGGGACGTTAAGTTATTTGGTCACCACAGTTATGTGTTTTAATTTATTGTATAAACCTGAACTTCTGCGGTTTCATTAGACAACTTCACTGAACTATTTCCCATTCAACTTATAATAATAAAATTGAGATAAATGTAGACAATGAGAGTTGAACTACATTTGAACCACATAAATATTTTCTGGTATAGTTAATGTATGTGTAGTTTAAATTTTATTAAGTACGTATTAAGTGAATCCTAGATTATTCTAAAGACTTGGTCTAGAAATTAAATGGCTACTTATTTTCTTCTAAATTCAGTCCATAGACAGTGATAGAGGCAAGTTGAAAGAATTTAAACTGCACACATTGCTCTACAAAATATACATTTCCCACAAACAACTGATGTGTACCAGTATTGAAATCTAAATTTTAGAAAACAAACAAACAATAGATTGACCACGGCTGCTGGAGAATGAGTTGGCAACCCCAAGATCTGACCACTTGACAGGCGGAGTCCAAGAGGGCACCGGCTTCCCCTTGTATTGATTTCTCGTTCGGTAATGTGCAATTCTAAACTCCCCAACATCAACCACTTTTTCTTAGAGTATTTGTTTTCTTTCTTTTTCACAGCACGGAAAAGGATATGCTAGTCAATTCTACAGAACTTACCCGAAGCAGCATGATTTGCACAAAGTCAACCAACAAAAGCATCAACTTTTCAACTTCATTGTCTTGGCCCTCCACTTAGCTGTGTGTAGCTGAGGTTAGATCTGCAGCGGCGGCGGCGCGGCCAGTTGTAGAACCCACTGGGTCTCAGCAGGCCTGAGAAATGAGTTGAAATGTGCAGAACTGTAGAAACTTTCGAGGCAAGCGACTTTGCCTCCGATCAGTGTGTGCCTGTTTACACCATGATATCTTTGTCTCTCCAGATGTCACTGAGCCCTTTCGATGTTTATATTCACCATGAGAAGCCAGTCATAAAGGAAACGTGTGCATTAGAAATGCAATATCACTGTTTTAAACTTGACTGTTTTATATTATTTTTTTTTGTGTGATCGAGTGTTCCCCAGACTATTCCAACTTTACAAGAGAGATAGTGGTTGCGTTCTTTTCACCTGTGGGTTATATATATAAATATAAATATATATATATTAAAAATGTTGTATTCTAAAGACCCGCAAAATATCAAAGACAGTCTGTAGTTTATACACCGTGTTGCAAAATGTTTACTGTACTATTTCAAAGCTTCTAAATAAATATCAAATATATATTATATTATATAATTTTCCTAAAATGTGGTACAAATCAGTTGGTTTTTAAATGGATTCATACTGTCCACATCATACAATAAAGGTAATTCAGGGTCCCAAAGATAAACTTACTGAGAACAAAATTTCATTAAGAGTTTCCTCCCAGTTTCATATCTTACTCAGCCCTGTTTTTCCTTGTTTGAAAGAAAATGGAGCTCTAAGCTACAAAATTCTGTCAAGAACTCATATTGAATTTTCAATGCCAAAGATCTAGCTTTCATTGTTATCAGAGGGAGCACTGAATGTGTACTATGGAACTATCTAGCAGTCTACATGATTCCCATTCTATTTCTATGGCTTTGAATTTAGCATCACTTAAAGCTTTTTATAATGAATCTATGAATTCGCCTGTATTTGTTGTTGTAGGGGAAAAAAACTAGTGTCTGTACATTTTTGTGGTGTAAAATATGTAATTGAAGATTACTATTTTTAGTCCTCAGTCATATAATTCACACAGAATTTTATTTTCCATAGTTTTCCATAGTTTTGTGACTCTTAACTACACATGAGTACATATAACTCTATATGAATATATAGAGATGCATAAATATAAATATTGAAGTGGTAAAGAATGAGCATAAAATATGAAGAATCTTTAAATTCAAGACAAATAAATTTGGAGGTAGAAACATGGCACATGATTGTTTTGGTATTATCTGTGCGACAGTTTTATGGCTTAAATGTAGTCAGCCTGTCATTAATGAGAAAATTCTTCATGAGTCAGTCTTGAGAAGTTAAACTTGCCTTTTATGTTTTCGTCAACAAGATTAATGATTCAATTCAGTAAGATGCATTTCTTTTTTTTTTTTTTTTTACATATTTTCCTCTATTTTTCTTTGCTTATTGAAACACAAGAGGGAAATACCATACATTGTGGCATAATCAAACAAACCACGAAACTATGTCAGCTCCTGTCCAAGACCGCCATCAACATATGTTGATAGGCGTGTCCAGCCCAAATTACATATCTGTGTTCAAATTCTAATCTTAATCTTTATCTGGTCTTATAGTTAGTGATAGTTTAACCTGCACAGACACTAATAATCAAACATGTTCTCCATCTAATTTTGTGTGAAATTTAGGAGGAAATTTTCTTAGATTTAACATGAAATGCATATGTATGTTCCTAGGGGCTTGAGGTGTGTGTTTAGAGTTATACCACGGTTGACACGCATTTGGATGTTATCAAATTAGATGAAGCAGTCAGATTCTCAATCTGTGTTTACATCAAAATAACGTATGGAATGCTATAACACTTGAGGGCCGTTCGGGGAAGAAGCTCCAGGTGTAGTACATTTCCCAGGTGTAAGGAATTTCCCTTGACTTGGTGTAGCAGTAATATATTATCAGACTTTTAGCTTTTAGGACATTAATATTTTGAATGGTAGAGTATTTTATAAGAGAATGTTTATATATAATTGAATTGGAGAAGTTGGTTCTAATTACTTTTAAACAGGAAAATTATTTCCTTGTTAAGATCTCAAATTCAAATCTTTTGTGCATCATTTTACAACCATGCAGTAAAATTATCATCCATGATTTTATTAATGCATCAATAACAAGGTTATTCTCACTTCAAATATAGTACATACTAATTTGCTTGCTTTTTAAAAAAAGATGTCTTGGATTATTTAACCCTTTATAGCATTGTATGTAGTCTCCCTAAACCACAATTTTATACATTATATTTGTGTTATCTATTTTTATATAGCATAGCAACTTCTTATTGTCATTTACATTTTAGTTTGTAAATTGTATCATCATTCTACAAAAGCAAAAACAAACATTTTACCCAACTTGAGGGGTAAAATTATTTATATTCAAAATACCAAGTTATTAGATCATAAATTAAGCATTGCATCCAGGGTAAATGAGCAGTTTTAGTAAAGATACCATGTAAATTTGACTAAAATTTCATTCTATAGTAAGAGTGTCTACAATGTGAAACACATGACCAGCCAAGCACGAGAAACTTTCCAAACAAAATTTACTTGTCTTACAAGGAACAGTAGTGTAGGCGCTCTACTTCACCTGGCCATTCTAATATCTGATCCACCATCATTTCTATGCACATAGAAGAAAGGTAATATTCATAGACAGCATTTTATCCATTAAGTACTTCAGAAAAGAATAATAATGACAATTACTCCTTATTTAACATCATTAGTTTTAGAGCAGTAAAAGTCAAAAAATTTTCCTGTGGAAATAGTGTCTTAAGCTTGCAATGGTATGTCAAATGACAACTTGTAGAATTACTTCATCCACACGTACGATTTTAAATTTTACCGTGAGTATAGTTTCGTGAAATCATTTGAGCTTAAATGCTGCATCTCCGTTGTTTTTAATATAGATGGGTGTCAGTTAGCATAAGCATGCCATCTCTTCTTAGAAGAATGGAAGGAAATACATGTTTCATTTTCAGAAGATATTAAATGCAACGCCTTTATCAAACATTGCGAGGATTAAAATTTTAAGTTATCTGCTTCCCTTCCAAATCCTGTCCTAAGTCACCATCAGGTGGACAGCCACAGAAGACCACATGCTTCTCTAGTAAGAGAGAGAAGTCTTTGCAGTCGTGAACCTGGGCCTCCATGCAGGCCTGTGTCGGGACCGATGTACCTTCCAAGACTTGCGCTGGAATTCAGTTGACTCAGCTGAGCGTGGCCAGTGTTGAGGGGACGAAGGTGCGTTTGGTAGGGACTGCTGCTGGCCCCTCTTCTGTCCTTGTCCATGGCTTTTCTCCCCTCCTATTTCTATGTGTGCTAGTAATACACAAGGAGCTCAAAGGAAAGCTTCACACGTTGGTATACTTGATAATTTTTCTGAAAAATCTTATATTTTTCATATTACAATTTCTTGGGTTCTTTATCTTTTTCCAGTCTAATTTTGTAGTGGTAAAGGCTTCGCACTTAATATCCTTTTCACATTCCTTTTTAACAAGGAAAAACAGAAAATACAAAATTTCATATTTTTTACACATGGAGTAGTGAAATGATTTTATATATTGTTAGTACTTCAACGATATCCCTCTGCTACATCAGTCAAATACTTAGAAAGCAATTTATGAGCCTGTTCAATAGAGAATTTTTTTCATAAGAAAACGTGGCTTAGGTTTTAGATGATAGCATTCTGTCGGAATTCCGGAAGATGGGTACCGCCAGAGTATTGCAGGCAATAATAAGACTTAAATGCTAATACTTTTCGTGTGCATGCATGTCTTTCTAATCACTGTTATTTTTTAATCATTTGTAAAATTAGAAAAAAAATAATTTCTTGAAGACTTGTCACATGCTTAGTTTGAAATTTTACTCTGCAGATATTTTTGAGTTGTGTGGAAATACTGCATTCAGGATGCAGGAAATACTAAATTTTTACTTGAGACTCAACTCAAAAATATCTGAATGATAGAATCCAGATTCGTGCATCTGGACTGGAGAGTGAGCAGGGAATTTCAGCTCTCAATACAGTTCTTGAACAGTCATCTGTGAGTGAAAACAGGGTATTAGTATAAAAGAAGAGTTGCGATTTTAACTATAGTGTTTGTTACTGTGAATGTGATAATAATACATTAGCAAAACAAGTGTAAATGTAATATTTTATATTAGTGTACATATGGAAATAAATAAACTAGGATACACCGTTTTTCATGCATGAGTCTTCCACTGACACCTATGGGAGCATTGAATAAAGATCAGTGCAGATATGGTCCTAAGAATAAAGAAAATTAAGCTAGTTAGTGACTTCAGCCTCAGTGTATCAGACCACAGGGACATCTGTTCGGAACTAAGTGAAACTGAAAGCAACGTGTTCAGGACTTGAGAGAAATTCACTCCACATAGGCTTTTATTTTATTAAAGCCATTCCATTTCATATGATTCTCGTGATTTTTTACAACAAATCTTTTAAGTGGATATTTTTCCCCTTCATGATACTGTATATTTTAAACTTTCACTCAGTACTGTCGATCCAGAATTCATAAACATTAACAGCAAGGTGGCAGGCTGCGGAAGAAAAACACTGCATTGGAAATTTCAGAAGTGTGCCCTTGCACATTGAAAGGTGATCGAAACAGGAAAAATACATCTGAGTATCATTTTAAATGATGAAATGTGAATTGGCCTCATAGATATTTATTTTAATTTGACGACCATCTGGATTTGCTCGGCAGAGGTCGAGTGTGGAAGAAGCTGAGGAATTGCAGGAAGACGCTTCATGTCTCCTGTGTGATCTCTGCAAATGGCTTCTTGGGTTCAGAGAGCAAGACCTAGCAAAGACAGAGCCCCTGTCCTGAGACGGGACCCAAGGACCAGGTGTTCCCATTGCTTGGCACATTGAGGATTGTCAGTTCTCCACACGGTGGGCTCCATGGCCCATCCTGGCGCCCTAGATGTCCTCCTGTCTCTCCCTTTATGGACATCATGGCATGGATGATTTCATTCTAACAAGATTATGAATTGTAGAGCTAAATTTGAATGTGATTGATTACAGAGTCAAGTCTTGGCCACCCCTGGA